CGTGTTCAATACTTATTTTACCTGCTGTATATGCATAAACCTCATCACCTATATAGGATTTTGTCATGGACTAAACATAAGTTTGATAAACCACTTTTATGAGATCTCACTGTGGCATTAAAGCCTTCAAGTTTAAAAAGTCAGATGTCTAKCATGTTTTCCTGAAAGTATACACAATGATGAAAATAACTCCCACTTATCTGTGAACTGAATTTAACCATTCACTCCAAATATGAAAGTAATAMAAATTTAACCAGTCTTACTATAAACAAACAAATATTTTCTTTGAAAAGAGGAAAAAGAACCATTTAGAAAACACAATTTGATTAATCTTGAAGCGGAGAAAGTTTAAAGGTTTAAGTTTCTGTCACATTCTCAGAAGAAGCGCTGGATAAACTATGAAGCTCACAGTAAGCCGATTTAAACAGCTGCCAACTGCGATTATGCAGTATGAGGCTCTTCTGTGACTTGTCTCACCCCTCCAAGATTGGCTCTGCTCTCTTAGACCTAGTTGCCCGGAGGAGCAAAAAGTGTCCATCATATCCATAATTATCTGGAAGGGAGGTCCATCACCGCTCCATCTTGGAAGCATACAGGCGGCATGGCGGTAAATAATCCCATCATCTCAGCCAGAAGAGGTCAGGCAGACATAAATTTAACTCAGAGCAGTTTTACATGCTGCAGGGCATTGTAGGGAGGTTTCATCATATGAAGGATTGATGCTGTGGATTTTCCTTCTCACTCTCCATGTTTTAGCTTGAGCCAAGGACTCCACAAGAGAAGAAAAATAAATATACTGTATTTACATATTTTTAGGTTTCTTTGACCCATGCACATCTGACTTGTATCGTATGTGAGACCACCTTTATCCATTTGTCGTTCTTCCCTTCAGTTGTTTCTAACTTGCAGCCAATGCACAAGCAACAGTTAACCATTAAGCTTTTACAAAATACTACTTTGTCTTTTACAAAAAATAAAATGAGTGCATTTAAATGAGCTTTAATTAATCTAAAGCAATGACTTTTACAAAAGTAAGTAAGTAAATCAGTAAGTAAAATTTTATTTATRGAGCGCCTTTCACAGAAATGGAATTCACAAGGTGCTGTACAATAATCATTAATATAGAAAGAGYTGATTGGCAGCAGGTGCTGTACAATAATCGAACACAAAGAGAAAAACAGAAATACTTGACAATTACATTAAAAATGATGAAATTCTGGTCAATACATTCTCAAACTTTTGGAATAGTAAGGGGCATGGAATAACACTGATGGAGAAAAAAGTAATTGAGGTATATACAATAGATAGGCTTGCCTGTAACTAATTGGAGTCAATGGTCATGGCGTATAAAATGTAAATGAATGGATACCAGTCAGAAGTAAAATACGTGTTTTGCAGTCATGGAAGTTTAGGTTCAGGATTTATGTTGTGGATGGCAGGATACCTTCAGCTAAATGCTTGAGTGAATAAATGTGTTTTTAGTTAATTTTTAAAGGTGTCAGTGTTATCAAGATGGACCGTGAGAGCATTCCAAAGTCTGGGAGCCATGGAGGAGAAAGCACGGTCTCCGTGGGTCTTGAGACGGGTAGAGGGGACCATGAGAAGCAAATTGCGTGTTGGGTTGTAGTGGGAGATGAGGCTCGAGATGTAGTTGGGCACCAGGCCATGTAGGGCTCTGAAGGTGAGAACTAGAATTTTGAATCTGTCTGAAATGGACAGGAAGCCAGTCATTACTCTGATAAGATCGGAGTAATGTGTTAGAGTTTCGAAGTGCGAGTTAGAAGTCTAGCTGCTGAGTTTTGTACAAGTTGGAGACAATTAAGCTGTTTTTGGTTCAGGCAGGTGAACAGACTGTTACAATAGTCTAAAGGCAAAAAAGGCAAAATTCTAATAAATAAGTTAGTTTCTTGTTATGTCCTGGTGGTTTGAAGTTGTTGCAGACTGAATGCATGTTAACATAATTATAAAATGGGCAAATTCTCCAGAAACAATAAACAAACCTTCCATTTATTTTGGTTCTGCTGTTTTCCTCTGCTCGACACTTTAGAAGAGTTTAGAGGCTGTTTAGAGTTGAACAGCATCGTCTCCAGGACATTCGGAGTCCATGGTCCAAGCAGCTTCGACTCACTCACTTAAGTAGCTAACATTCCAAATGGGCAATAAAGAGAGTCCTGTAGTCCCTCTAGAACAATAAAACACAGTCAGGGGTGGATGCACTGTAATACAGATAGATATTTCTCTGCCACAGCTACAGCTGCTGCGCTCAGCAAAATGAAAGACTGAATCAAGTACTCTGCAAAGAAAGAGCATAATTCTCTGCAACATCCAGGTGTAACATTCCCTCTCTGTTCAGGGACACARAGGTCTTCAGGTCATTAAAATGATGTTGCCTTTTCAGCCATGCAGCATCGATACAACACAGGATATACTGCATATTTATTTGTGGAGGCATAACAATTTCCCTACAAATGTCCTTGCTGTCTACTGCATGGATTTGAAGAGGAACAATAAGTCTGAGTAAAGTGAGAATCTTTCTCTCCATACATGACAAGATTTTAATCAGCATGGAGGTGAATTTATTTCTGTCGCTCCAATGCAGGGACAGGGATGATGGTCAGGTGATGATCCCTAATGTTAGAGCCTTCTCACGCCTCTCTCTCCTTGAAGGAATAACATTGAACATGGATTTAGCCATGACCTTGACTTGACTGCCTGCTTGGAGGAAGAGGTGTACTTCATCGTGTGTGTGTGTGTGTGTGTGTGTGTGTGTGTGTGTGTGTGTGTGTGTGGGTGGAGAAAAGGGCAGATGATCTGTCCAGCTGTGACTGCC